AGCGACTTCAGCCTCGTAAAACAGCCGAACGCTGAGAGACATTTTACAAGAAACTATTCAACTTTTGAGGAAAGGTTTTCTGGCGGAGATGGGAGGAAAGCGGCTATAGGCGAAGCTTAAAGCAGGGCGAAGTAAATCTGCGTTTTAGTTTATATTTTTTAGCCTAAACTAGGACATTATCACATACTGGACATACTGGACATTAAATTTTGTGGCTCCCAAGGTGGTTTGATTTTTGTTCAAAGGACAAAATGTCTCTTTTTAACATTTGTGTTGTGACTCCTGACCTAACCTGGTTTTTAAAGCAGAGGCTGCTGGTCGGATTTCTCACTCATCCAGCAGTGTTTTTGTTATGTGCCGCCACAGACTGTCCGGGCGCTGCACTTACCCACTTCCAAGTTCCGCCTTTTGCGTTCCGTCAACATTACGTTATAAATTAAAAGATATTTAGAAAATCGATTTTTGACATTTGTGAATCGATTCAGAATCATCCACGTCTGCATCTCGATGCATCTAAGAATTGTTTTTTCCCCGCACCCCCACTTTCCACCCAAGACAAATCCGGCACTCAACCTTTTTAACTCTTTTACAAGAGCATTAAGGTACTCTGACAATGAAGTTGGTTTTGATTCACCACAGAACACAGCAATTCATACTTGTCTTTTGGTAATGCATTGTTGTAAAATTCCCAACACTGGCCAAAATTGTACAGATTAACTTTTAAATAATGGCAGACCATGAACATTTAGATGGAATTTAAAAGTATGTCCATCTTGAACTTTGGAGGACATTTTTTTTTCAAATTGTTTACCACTTAATACCAAAATAGTAGAAAGAAACATACTGAGTTCTTATTTTAAGCAACTAGTAAAACACCAAATTCAACTGCCCAGTCTGACATAGAGCTTCACAAATCCATGTTTGATCAATCTTCATTGTCATCGTCACTAGTATCACTACCTATTTCACAATCAACCTCCTCTTCGCTTCTACAGGCATCAGCAAACTCACAAGTGGCACCACTATAGCTTACTACTACACTGTCTTCCTGGTTCAGGTCTGTCCTTGAGCTAGTAGCTATATCTGTTTCCAAAGATGTGATCATGTCATTAACCCTTTTAGCAACTCTCTTGCCCATGTTATTCCACTCACCGTATGCGCATCTGCATTACTTCATACACTGGAGAAAAGAAAACAAAAACAAACTTCTATTTGTTGTTTGCTACATTGTTTGCTATCTGATGTTGACCAGAGGAGGATGGGTTCCCCTTTTGAGACTTGGTTCCTCTCAAGGTTTCTTCCTCTTGTTTTTGGGAGTTTTTCTTGCCACTGTCGCTCTTGACTTGCTCACTATGGGCTGGGACCCAGGCTTCTATAAAGCTGCTTTGTTAAATGCCTGTTTTAAAAAGCACTACACAAATCCATTTTGAACTGAAATTATACTGAAAATTTAACCATCCATTCCTTCAATTAAAAAAAAAAAATCTCTCATCTTGACAATCTGTTCCCTTAATTTAATAAATCTATATCTCTATGTCATCCAACAGATACACTGGTAACACTTTACTGTAGGGCACTGTTCATTAGGCTACATGACACCTACATAAGGTTGTCATGACAACTGCCATATCCCTACATAATTGTTCGTAAATGCTTAGTACAAAAGGCATCAACTGTCATAAAGGCTACTTTAGCTGACTTTGATCAAAATTGGCCAATTTAACCTTCATAGCAAATAATGCGTTTTGGAATAAACATTTATAAAAACCTATGTGGGGCTAAGTAAGTGATCATGACAAGCTTATGTAGGCGGCATGTAGCCTAATGAACAGCACTCTACAGTAAAGTGTATGGATACACTTTTCTTTTTTACTATTGAAGAAAAGAAACTCCTACTGGACAATAATTATAGCAGTCATCCACATTAAATCAAACACATACTGCATATGTCCATGAGTCACTATGACACACTTACAAAGTGGTTGATATAATTTAATTATAAATCAAATTCAACACAATTTAAAATGTCCATTTCCAGTAAATAGTCCATACAGTCAAGATATATCAGTTCTGAGTTACTCTAAGTCATGCTACAGTATGGACATGCCAAAGATGAACTGATTTTGTAGTAGGTATTTAAATAAATATGAATCAAATTTCCCAAAGTATTAATGTAACTCAATCATAAACCAAATTATAATATATAATAATAAACGGTAAGATGTCATTAAAAGTTCCTCAGGGCAAGTTTGGTTAACATTTAACTCTACAAGGAAAAGGTAATGGAAAAGAGATATTTATATTTATTAAAAATGGAAGAAATATGTTAACATTTATTTTCTATGAAAACTTACACTTATTTATTGTTACCCTTTTTGAAGGTACAACTTTGAATAATGCTCAAAAATGGGCGAGGCACACTGGGAGGGGCACTGCAGTGATGTACAGGTTTGGAGGTGGGGCTGCGAGGGAAACCATGTGGGCCCAGCTGCTGTGTTTTTAGAGCTAGCATATGTCAGCTACCAGAAAATAAGGAGAGTGACAGAATCAAACGGCACTTTTGCAGCTGAGAGTCTGACGAGCCTGACAATTTTTCTCTACTACCATCCCCATCTTCGACGAGGGAAGGTGTTTCTGATCCGGCAGTGCGTCTTGAGCCTGAACAGTATGTGCCACTGACTCACATTAACATAGTGCCAGAAAATGATTAGCAGCGAGCGGCAGAGGTGTCAAACAGTGGAATATTCCCTAAAACCATGACAGCTAGCTTCTAATTATCTGTTCAGCAGGTCCATAATCGATATAACCCAAGTCCAGATTTCTTAGATGCCTGAATTCCGAATGAATAAAGTGGATTTCTTTGAACTCTGTCTAAGTTTCATTCAGTTTGACATCAAGGTCGCAGACTGCCTCACCAGTCAGCCAGGCATCGCTGCAGTGGCCCTAAATCCTTACATTCTGCAAGCTGTTCAAGGCACTTACCGGTGTTATATCCGATTCAGTTCCCACTCAAATTCATGTTCCCCTTTATAAATCGAGCGCTCTGTCACGGGCACTCACTGAACACTAATCAATGGCAAGCAATATTAAAACAAGGGCAAGCAACTCGTGAATTAGACGCAACACGGGCGCTGTATAGAGACAAGAATCCTCACTTAATCGGTCAAACATCTTTATTACAAACTAAGCTTAATTGGGTTATTTACAGTTGGTACAGACAGCTGGCATATCACAGCCTTGTGAGGTGGTGCTGGGGGTATTTAGCTCAGCGAAGTGAGTGTGGTTATCTCCTCGCTCTAGGCTCCAGTTCTTTCATATTTATGAGTGTAGCACGAGTAGGGCGTAATCAGGGGGCGGTGTCATTGTTTGACTGATTTGCATACTGTGATGTGTCATCGTACTTCGGTACCAAGACACGTCATCTGTGCCTATAGCAGCGTTGAACCAGAGAGGCGCTGCAGAGGCGGAACTGACCACGATGAAAATGATATTTTTACAGTTTGTAAAGATATGTTCACGTTTTAAGCAAGGCTGGTGTATATTATTATTACAGAGTGGTGCATTTCAGCTGTTAATGAAAACAAAAGGTCTTAGGGTGGAGCTACTCTTTGTTCCCAGTACTCTTCTTCCCAGTACCAAAGAATAGTGAGCTGCCTTAATGACTATCGCCCAGATGCTTTAATCACCTTCATCACTAAATGTTTTGAAAGACTCATCCTCTTTCACATTAAGGCTGCCATCCCTGCTAACTTTGACCAACATCAGTTTGCATATCGAGCAAATAGATCGACAGAGCATGCAGTCATCACAGCTCTCCACACAGCCTTTACTCACTTAGATCAGAGAGAAACATATGTAAGAGTGCTGTTTGTGAATTTCAGCTCAGTTTTTAGTACAGTTATCCCCCATAAACTGGTTCAAAAACTGAGCAACCTGAATGTCAGGATAGGCGATCAGACATCATCCACTCTCAGGCCAGATCAGGCCTGCGACACAATCCTATCCGACTCGCAAAAGTATTTTAATTTTCTATTATTATTAGCTCATTTCATGATGCACTGCACTACAGTTCCCAGCACGCACTGCAACATAATGTGTGCTCTGACTCTCCTACCCCATCAACAATCTATGGGACAGTGGTTACACCTCAGTTCTACACAATTCAACACAGTTCCACACCAGTCGTATCACCAAACACACTAACAGCAATTCGGCCAGTATACCACCGCATTACACTTTAGCTCAACATTAGCTCAGCAGCTCAGAAACTGAGCCCAAGTATTAATAAACTTGCAGCAAATAAAAGATGCCGGGTGTCTAATTCAAGCAGACAGGTGGTTTTAAAAGACTGAGCTCCTGGGGACATTTAAAATTTGAATATTTCAAGTATTCATGTAATATTTCAAGGTCGACTACAAGTGCCTTTATTTTACTGTTGAGGTTTTTGCGTATTTTGAACAAAAATGTTAATTAAAAATGAAATAAAACATAGTTGTTCTCTGGCCCACAGATTTGTTGAGATTTTTTAATATGGCCCTTTTAGTGGTTGAGTTTAACACCCCTGGCCTACAGGAAGGAGGTTCAGCATCTGACAGAATGGGGCTGTTACAATAACCTGGACTTAAACACCAAAACAAGGAAATGGTCTTGGATTTCAGAAAACCAAAGCGCAATCACACCATTAACCCAACTGTTTGGTAGTGGAATGAGGGAGAGAGAGAAATAACCCAGCAAATCTACCCAACTGCCTAAACCCAGCACTTGGGTAAACAAAAAAAATAATAACCCAGCATTTTTTAGAGTAAGGCCTGCAAGAAGACATACTTGGGCTTTTAAATACCAAGCTCCTCCTCTTGGGCTCAACTCCGCAAGCTGATTGGCCAAATTACATCCTTCAGATAATTGACACACCAAGCAGCCTAAGAAGAAAGAGGACAGAGACAGAGAAAAGGGGAAAGAAAACAAACACACATGTGCACAGCCCCTGAGAGTGACATCTATAAATACAGACCACTTTGCGTTCAACTATTCACACTGCAGCTGCAGCAAGCTAAAGAGACAGGTAAGAATCCATCCGCTTAATGCTTTATGTCTAAGACTGCTGTTTAAAACTGTTGTCTCTGGTGTTTTTTTCACCCTATGCTTTTTATGCACATACATTTTAAAATATTCACATAAACACTTAATATTGTAAAGTTTCTCATGTGTGACATTTCATTATCTGCATTATAATGACTATGAAGGGACTGCAGCTGCTCATGAGTAGCATTTAACATGTTTTTACATGCACTGTAGTACATTATGTTTATCATATTTTAAACCAATGGTGTAGGTTTCATTTCAGCTTTGGGTTGGACGCACTCTTACCTACCTGATCCACCATGTGATTAGTGTTGTATCATAAATGTTAATGTTAAGCACAGTAAAAAGTGAATTTTTTTCATGTGAGGATTTACACACCAACAAACAACAAAACACGCAGTGATTCAGCAGTGTTGACTGGCATAAAAAAACAAACAAAGAAAGGAACAAAGAGTGAGAACACTGAAACGGAAAATGAAAATAAAAGTGTCAAAAACAGAGATGCCCTCCCAATCATCAGCGTTCTCCTCTCAAACGTCCTGCTATCAGACATGTGTAGTTTTTATATTTAAAAGCGTTTTTTTAGTTAAAATTATTGTTTTTTATGGTGTAGATTTACCTTTTTTTACAGAAATTACAAGCACTCCATTTCATTATCTCTCTCTCTCTCTCTCTCTCTCTCTCTCTCTCTCTGCAATCTTTACATTGTAAGTTATAAATTTGGAGTTTTAACTTAAAAATGTAAGTAACCTACTTGGGTGCAGACATTTTTCAGTTTCATTGAACTTCAAATAATGAGTGAACCGAACGTAACACAGATTGTTCTGTTAGCTTACTATTTGAAAGCAAGCATTTTCTCCCTCTCCCTCCCCTCACCCTCTCTTTCTCTCTCTCGGAAAGAATTTTAAAAAGAACTCTGAAAAAAAAAAAAATGAATAAATAAAAATATTCGGGGCCACAGCCCCAGAAGACCAGGCGACGCTCCTATACTGAACACAGTTTGACAACAGGTGGTGCAGGTGTCACCCTTTTCCTTGGGTTGTCAGGTACTTTATTGACCATATATCTATGTCTAGTGTAGGAGAAGCACAGCTGTGCAAGCAGCTGGGGACAGTGAAAGGTTAAATGCCTTGACTATAGGCACAGCGAGCAAATACTGCGTCAGCGCTGGGATTTGAACCCACAACCTTCCTTCTTCTGGCACACCTCTCCTAACACTAGGCTACCAGCCAACCCAACAAAGTATGCAGTTTAATAAAGTAATTAGCTAAACTAACCATGTGACATGAGAAATATAGCTAATCCATGTGAGAGCTAGTTAACAAGATGTTAATATCTTACATTATCACAGCTGGTCTGCTCAGTTTACCTCGCTTCTAAACATCCTTGACAGTCTTGAAGATCAGAAAAGTGGAGGTGCTCAGTCTGATACAGTAAAGGACGATGAGAGATGTCACTGATTATTTCCCATGTGTCTACTGAGCACAAGGACGTGAAGAAAAATACAGCTACCTATTGACTGAAACCAAAGATGCTCACTGTTTCAAATATAATAATAATGATAATAATAATAATAATAATAATACTTATTATTATTATTATTATTATTGTTATTATTATTATTATTATTATTATTATTATTGCATTTGTGGCCAAAGGGTACTCCACAAATCTGGATTTCTCAGTTAGCCAGAAAACTTAAGCACAAAGATGAGGACTGTCCAATAAGAATGTCCCTCAGCTCTTTTTTATTGGGCAGGCTTGACTTTGGGCTTACGTTATCTGGCTTAACTGATACATCCTATTTGGGGAAATATCCCCCAGATGTAACAACAAAAAGCAATCACAAAACAAAGAAATAAATAGAGAAAGAATGAGAAACACTTGTAGTCTTCTTTTCTCAGGCTTTTCAGGCTCACTCTCTGACTTCCTCCTCTCTACAGTCACTTATTTTGCCCCATCTCCAAGATGTGCGACAAAGGTAAGCCCACAACATTGCTCTTCTAAATTTTCAATTTCCAAATTCAACAGCAGTGTTATCTAAGGTCTAACTGTAACCATCTCTTCCTTGGTGAGCTTTCAGTTTTAATATTGTGGATGGATTTGCACCCCTAAACACAGCCAATACAAAGTGATATACAGTTTAGTTTCACTTTGGGTGCTGATTTGCTGTTTGCCATTATAAAAGAATTATGATGATGATTAGTGGTGGAGCAATACCCTATTAAATGACCCCCTGATGTCCAGCCTCAGGGGATGGCAGTAAACTGAATGATAAAAAAAAAATATTGAAAAAGTGCATCACTGGCTAATATTTCATACGAAAACTACAAGCCAAAAAATCTGGTAGAATGAAACAAAGGTTAATTTTCTGAGAATGTACCGGAGTTCTGTCTGTGTTCTGAGCAGTTTTCAGATATTGAGCTTCAAAGATTTTGCATTCCAAACAGCAAAACCGATATGTGGAACACGTCTGTGTGATACATGACAATGACAGACACCCTAAATATATTCTAAATGTAAAATATCACAATCCTATCAAATTTGTAAATGAGTTACACATTTTTGGATTTTTTGTTTTTTGGAACAGGTCAAATGCAGAGAGAACCTTCTAATCCTAAGAATTCACTTTCTGCTTGGAATTATAAGGCTCTATCTGACAAAACATGAAAAGAAGCAACAATTTTCAAGGAACACAGAAAGGTTACTCATAATTTGTTGTAAAAGATAAAATTAGTATTGCAGCAGAGTGTTTACATGTCCAGAAAGTGAAATTTAAATCCCTTTTTGGTATTTTTATGACATTTATTTCGATTAATTTATTTCTTCGTTTCATATATGTTTCACAGTTTTATAAACGTGGACATACAAACTTAGAAATAATTATTCATTTAAATGAATGAATTATTAATTAAACAACTGTCAAGTCATTGCAAAACATTTTAAGCAATGCAACAACTCAGTTTCTGCTAACAATTAAAAATGATTGTTTCATCTCAATTTCATAAAATACCTCTAACTCATCAAGTTGGCAGATTCGGAGCCTTATAGCCTCGGCTCAATTTTCAACAAAGCGGTATAACACTGTCCATCTGCAGGCCCTGGCTCCACAGGTTTGGCCCTTGTTAGGTCTGGTAAAGACCCACAGCTCCAATGCCCCTCTTTCTGCTACCTGTACCTCGCTGGCCTGGAGAAAAAGAAAACATACTCACCATGTCAGGGATCAGGGCCATCACAAGAATAAAAAGAGACAAAAAAAGTTATTAGCATCAAACCACTGACCAGCTAAAGGCTACATTAAAATCTAATGTTACAATCATTCTGAAATCATTAGTATTTTAATACAGGGGTAACTGTTAGAACGACGTTTCTTCAAAAACCAAAACTTATGCTTTAATGCCTTATATTACCATTAATGGGCAGACCAAGCCTTACCTGGCTAGCATGGTAGCTAACAATGAATATAAACCTCCTCAGCAAGATCAAAAACGATTAAAGAAGACTTAATTTGCCTGTCATTTGGACCGTTGTACTTCATGAGATCATCAATAAATCCTCCATCTTGAAATTTCTCCTAAACTTAGCGTTGCGTGACTCATATTTGACGCCTGTGCTCTGTTTCCCGCAGAGCGGCAAAGAAGCAGAGTCTGATTGGTCCTCTTGCGTGGATTCGAAGCGCTGATTGGCTCACAGATAGAACCTTATAGAACTAAGTTAGAGTTTGACTTTGGAGAGAGAACCTTTTTGTTTTCTAGATAAAAAGTCCAAAAATGGATATAGCTTAAAAAAAACACCCTTGTTACAGAATAAGAAATGTGAATAACTCAACTTTGACAAAAATGTCAGACAGAACCTTATAATTCCAAGGGGTCTATTTTACTGTAGCTGTAGGGGTGCATGACTGAAAGATCGAAATCTTGAAATCTTTCGCTCCAAACGTGCAACCAGCAATCAGCCAGTTTATTTTTTAGTTGTTAGATGATGAATGAATGAATGAATGAATAAATGTTTTAATTAATTATTTAATGATTTGTGTTGCAGTTTTCTGACATTAATAACATGTGCCAAGTCAGTGCACATTATTTTAAAATGCCATTGCTACACCTGTACCATAGCATATTATACCAATGTCATAGCACAATTATGTATCATCCATCGTGCTTAACAGCCAGTTGCCTCTTAAATTTGATGCAGTGCTTTATTTGACTTTTTGTTAAATAAGTTACTGATTTTTTGTTTGGGAATGTAAAAAATGCCCAATTTCCCTTTAAAAGTTCAAGTAATGTTATTCATATTGCATTCTAGCCTATTGCATAGAAATTACTGGAAATGTGCTGGTGCTAATTTTGTTTATTCACCTCGAGCTCATTTGACTAATTACTAACTGTCCTGAATTCATTGCAGATCCGTCCTTGCTTGGAGTAATAAAAAACATTAACAGGCCCACAAGAACATATGCTGACGGACTGTATGCCGAGGCAGACACATATGTATGTCCCTTCACTGTCAAACCTAAACTACTCCTCCCCAAAGCTGGAGCTGTGGCTGAGGCTGGAGTAGGACGAGCTGGAGCAGAGTGGAGCGTCTTTGAGGCTAAAGCCAAAGGCCCAAATGCTTCTGCAAAGGCTGAGGCTAATATACTCGGAACTAGTGCCATGGCTCAAGCGGAACTTGGAAGTGCATCTGCGTCTGTTGGACCACTTGGAGTGAAAGTTGGGCTGGGGGTTGAGACTGGTGTGAAAATTACCCCCACAAAAGTAGAAATAAAGCTTCTGGGCACTGGGTTGACAGTCGGCAGCATATTCGGGATTTCTTTGTTTGGAAATGAATTGAGATTTAATCTTTGGTAAAACAACATTAATCCAACAATCATTCACATTTACGACATTTAGCAGACAGTCTTATCCAGAGTGACGTAGAAAAGTGCTATGTTGTCCGTTTAGAGCAGGGGTGCCTGGTCCTGGAGATCTATCACCCTGCACAGCTTAGTTACACCTCTAATCTAACACACCTGATTCAGATAATGAAGGCCTTCAGGGGCATCTGAATATTGGAGCCAGCTGTGTTGAATCTGAACTCTCCAGGGTAGTAGATCTCCAGGATAAGGATTGAGCACCCATGGCTTAGATAATATATCCATAGCTAATGCAAACACACTAGTCTAAAGATAGCTTTGAACTAAGAAACTGCCAATAACAATAGTCAGTGCTGATAGCCAGATATTAAAATATGCAATACAGAGGTAAGACAATTCAATAAGAGCAGTTAAAAAAACATTAACACATGCAGTAATAAGACCTTTCAAAATGTGCTGTTACAAGACATTTATGCAAGATTAATGTTCATTTCTATGCTTTTTTAAAGAAGTGGATCTCTGTATATGTATTTTATGTGTTTTCCCAATATGCTAAATTCAGCAAATAAATAGCGCTTGTGCATGAAAATGTGCAGAAGTGTGTTCTCTGTAGAGGGTGTGTAACTTATTTACACTTAGAAAATCAACATGTCATTTGGGGTGCCCAAACTTTTGCATACAGCTTTAACTGAGCAGTCCGTTCCCCTAAATGCCACCAGACCATTTCAGTCTTACTTTCAATTCCTGCACTTAAAAGCAACTCAAATGTTTCAGTTATATTGTTTCCTAAATGTGGATGAATCCCACAGGAAGGAAAGTCAAAGTGAAAATAATGCATCATATTGCACACGTAAAATATTGATTTATAAATACATACTGACATATTTATTTTCACGTCTTTTACTTCTACTTCACTATATTTGTAAAGATTAAAGCAGGGATGTAAAAATTAAAGGGCCAGCGTGTGTGCAGGTCCAAACAAGAAGAGCAAGCCTGATTCCTCTCATTTAATCAGTCAGTCTCAGTCTTTAAACAACGGATCATTTGTGCTTTGCTTTGTTGCAGCTAAAACCTACAGCCACAACAACACTTTGCGGATACGATTGGACGCCCCTGGATTACAGCAATCTATTTTTACTGCGTTACATTTTAGCCATATTTAGTTACTAATTCCTTTTTGTGTTTAATTTTATTATGTTTTGTTGTTGATTACATCTGACTTTGAAGCTTCAGCATTTTACTGCAGAAAATGCAGATACAGATGTTGTACCAGTGTTGGGAAGCATGCGGAAAATTCTTTGGGCTTCTGTTTGAGTGAAGTAAAATAGCATTCTCAGGGATTTCCGACCATTCCTGCACCTCTAATCAAACACACCTGATTCAGGTAATGAAGGCCTTCAAGAACATCTGAATATTAGAGCCAGATGTGTTGGATCTGATCTTCAGGACAAAGATTAAGCATCCATGCTTCACATGCTCTTTTATCCCACATACTAATACAGGGCCCCCTAGTGGTGCCTCTAATTTAGCCTACCATGTGAATGCAATACAACTTCTTAAATAATTTTGAATCAATGATACTATATACTTTTGACCATGCATTTATCGATTTAGATCGTGTTGTTATATTATTGCTGGAATGCCCAGTGAGCCAGCCTATGAGAGTTGATGTCTCTCAGTAAGTTATTGACTGACTGAATGAATGATAGATTTCGCCCAAGACATGCAGCAAGTGGCACTATACACCATTAAATGACCCGCCCAACATTACCAATATAAGGCTAACAAATAATGGAAGAAATGTAAACGTCATTGGTCTTCTGAAACCATAATAACTAGCATAATAAGCAGTGAGTGATTGTATTTGAGATTGAGCTGTCTGACTTGAGTTGGATTTTTTTCCTTTATCTTGGTGTGTAAGCAATCTTCTTTGGCTATTGCAGGTGAAAAGCACATTAGCCTCAACTGTTGCAGGTGAGGATACAGTCACCAAGTATTAGTACAGGACCAGTGTGTGCACCAGAACTGCTATGCGGCAGGTACAGTGTAAAAAAAATGCCAAACAAAATCCAAAAGACATAAAATGTACAGTAGATCCAGAGGTACACATTCAAGTGGGAGTCAGCAGAAGAGCCACATTTATGGCAAATCATCAAAGGTCTACTCATTTAGAAAATATGTTGATTTATTGTCCCACAACTGATAGCCTCTTATATTGAATGCACACAGCAAGGAGCAGCAGCGTGCACAAACTTTCTTTATTCACAAACATCTCTTTATTGAGCTTTAAGTGGCAAGATGGTTCCCAGACAACCACAATGCAAAGATCATCACGAAACATCCTTTTTTATACTCTTTTTGGGGTGATGAAGTAATCACCCCTCCCTTTTACACAATTCCTTATCATCTTAGTCCCTATTGTATCCAAACTCTGCACCTTTCTTGGAAACCCATAGAACCAAACGTACATGATGTCATTTTTTTTTTAAAGCTATTCTACCCTGGTTGTACCAGGCTCTATCATCCTCTCAGGGCCATCTTACACAACTTCTTCACCCAAGTGCATGAGCTCACTTTTAAAACTGGTTTCAACAGGTTTCAGTCTACTTTACCCTTCAAGGTCAACTTGCCCTTCTCTTTACTGTGTCAGCAGGTACAGATAGGCCTCTCTGTGAACCCAGGGGCTTCCCAGTGGCTAAAATCTCCCATGCAGACAGACTAGGACTGACCCTTTGTGAGAAGATTAATGTTCTCTGTTAGTCAATACTACCTATTTGGTTATTGATTACAATATCTGATCTATTTTACTACTGATTGAGGGAATATTATTCAAAAAGGGAATAAATTCAAAAATATATTAAAAAAAGGTTTATCTGCTTCTACTTGATCTCAGAAAAGATATCTTTTAAATCTAACTGTCACAGGACAGTGGCAGGACAGGGTGGCGGGGCCAAGTGCAGAGCCCTTGGGTGTTTATTCAGTCATTTATTTGTTATTGTAGTGTGTATAATACTTAGTGGTGCTAAAGCAAAATAGGTATCTTTGGGGTCACTGTGTGGTGAGAGTGGACGCCAGGTTCGAACCGGATATGCTAGGCGGTGGGAAAAGAAATGGCAGAAATGGCAAACAAAGGAGACGCCTAAGACCGGCGTGCTCAAACAAAGAACTCCTTTAAAGAGGGAAACTAAAAAGAACCCAAAACCACTCTCAAGCTCGAGAGGGCATAAGGGTGAGTCCAGCTCAGTCCAGGTTATATAGGCTCAGGCACACAGCAATTTGGACAGTTGTCAACAATAGACGTGAGAAAGCAAAGGTGGGGAAGAAGTGACCATGTAGGACTAGAAAGAATGAACAGTATGTCCTGAATGTCCTGGGTATAGTTTCCACGACTAACACCTGCACAGTACACACAATACAGAACATAATAGCATATAACAGTAGAGTAGATCATTCTTCAGCTGTAACACACTGAGTCACAAAAGGTACACATTCCATGTTTTGGGCACTCCTGGTCAAATGACATGTTGATGTGAAAATAATTTAATACATCCTTTTCAGAGAACACACTTAAATATGACTTTTCTGATATTTTAGTACACAATGTTTTTCTTTCTATCTATTTCTATATTTAGATTAGTTTAAATTGTTGGATATAATAAAACAGTGTGCCATAACTTTTGCACAGGCCATATTTTAGACAAATGGATGAAACTCTTCATACAACCCTGTTTCCAAAAAAGTTGGGATGCTGTACAATATGTAAATATGAATAGAATGCAGTGATCTACAAATTATTTAAACTATATGTTTATTGAAAATAGTACAAAGTCAACATATCAAATGTTGAAACTGATAAAATGTATTGTTTTTGAAAAATATATGCCCATTTTGAATTTGCATCACTTCTTCTTTTATCAACAGTGAAATGTTTTTTTCATTCTTGCTTGATGTAGGCTTTCAGCTGCTGAACAGTTTGGGGTCTACTGTGCCATATTCTTAGTTTCATAATGCACCAAATAGATGACAGGTCTGGACTGTAGGTAGGCCAGTTTAGCACCCAGACTCTTTTACTATGATGCCATGCTGTTGTAATACATGCAGAATGTGGTTTTACATTGTCTTGCTGAATTAAGCAATGCCTTCCCTGAAAAAGACATTGTCTGGATGGCAGCATATTATGTTTCAAAACCTGTACGTATCCTTCAGCATTAATTTTGCCTTCACAGGTGTGCAAGTCACCCGTGCCATTTGCACTAATGTACCCCCATGACTTTTGAACTGTTACTTGATAACAAGCCAGACTGTCCCTTTCCTCTTTAGCCCAGAGGACACAGGGTGCATGATTTCCAAAAAGAATTTCAAATTTTGAGTTGTCAGACCACAGGACACTTTTCCAATTCACTGCAGTCCATCTTAATTGAGCTCAAGCCCAGAGAAGGTGGCGGTGTTTCTGTATCCTGTTTATATGTGGTTTCTTTGAATTTTAACTTGCATTTTTGAATTTTTGTGTTCACAGACAGTGTTTTTTTGGAAGTGTTTCTGAGCCCATGCAGTGATTTTTGCCACATAGT